TCATTCAGTCGCGCTGGGAGAGCGCGGACGAGAGACGCGCTGACGGCGGTTCGAGTCCGCGGCGACGCTCGCGGTCATAGCTGGACACCGCCGGCGGCGCGAACCTCTGCCCGCTGATGAGGAAACTTTGAATAATCGGCAGAAGGGATCGCGCCGCGTCCGCATTATCAATCGCCTTTGAACACGGGCGTCCGTCGGCCGACGAGCCGTGCGAGCTATATCGAGCCGGCGGACAGCCCGCCCGTGCGTGGGCAATATCGCCGCACCAGCCATTCATCGGATCGCTCTGGGCGCTGCGAGACCAAAGTTGGCTGAGGGTGGAATCAATGGTTGGCCTTATATTTTGGAATCAATAGCGAGCCGTATCTCATACGAACGACAAGATTTTCAGGAACAGCCACGGAAAGGGGTTAACTACGCAGCAGGTCACGAAAATAGGCACAGGATGCATCGTGCGCGGCGTGCATGTGTGTGCCTGCGCGCGTGAGTGCGTGCGTACGAGGCGATTCCACTTGTGAGTCGTTCACTCAATGCAGGGAAGATGTTGGTATGCTGGAAGCTCTTAACATATCGCAGCCAGGTTGATCTAGTAGTGTGTTCTGCTATCGTCAGCGTCTTCAATATTCGTTTCGCAGCCGAGAAAGAACTCTCATGAGCTGTAACCGCATTTTCAGTCAGCTGTAACAATTGATAAACGCTAGTAAACATCAGCTCGTTTTGCTATGCGTGACCCTTTTTTCATGACCTCATAGTGTGGGTGACGCGCCGTAAAACACCAGATCACCACCACCAGCAGTGGGCCTAGCAACTACGACATTCATGCAGCCGTGTCTCACAGCCCGCCTAAGGTGCCGGTCGTCAGACGTGCGAGAGAAGGCTACTTTGTCTTTTACCTGGGACGTTCGCGGAAGCTCCGTTAAGTGATAGTAGCTGAGGCGCAACTGCTATTTGTTACAGGAAGTTTCCATCTTCGTGTTCGAGAAGAAATGGCCGAGAAGCTGCACAAGCCTAAACGCCGGGAAACGGTGACTGAGCTGCTGCGTGCGAGCGTCAAACAGCTGGAGCGGTACCGACACCCCAGGATACTGCAGGTGGGAGACAGACCGTATTGATCTAGCGCCAGCGTTGCAATGTCTTTTAGAAAACAGGCCTCGGATTAGGACTGGGATTGAAGACGGGTTAGGGGTGACAGGATGTTTAATTTTGCCAGCTCGGACAGATTAAACGAAATGAAAAATTGAATGAAAATAATCACTAATAGCCCCTGAAATAATCAATGGAGATATTAACACAGAAAAAACCCCGTAAACCAACAACATGCAAAAGTTTCGTTCCAAGCAATGCACAAACAGGCTTATAGTATAAGCCTCAGCCAAATAGCCCGCAAGCAAATTTTCTCATGAGCAGATTACTTTGCTAAATGTTAATGAGGGACACTCATGTCCTGCCATGTAAAACCGAATCTTGTATTCCTCCAGGGTAAGTGAGATTTTGGAACGATCTACTTATCCATTTTATAATAAAAAATTAGCACTTTGTGATCTTGCCAGCAAGCTCATTGGAGCGTGCCGATACTCCAGTGGTTGGCGCGGCTGCGTTTACCGTTGCGCTGTCTGGGAAACCCGAGATATGAGGTTCGATTCCTCGCGATGGCGCCCTTCCCGCCAGGGCCCGCCCCACGTATGGGTTGATTCAATATTTGTATCTGGGGCACTGCCGGGTCGTGATACGCTAAACACAATGCCTCGCCTTGATCGCTGCACCATCTTTTTTGAAACATTTGATCTGACCCTTTGAATGAATGGTTTTCTGGGATCAGAGCTCACTCTAAGCAGTGCTTACCGTGTGAGCTCTGACCCCTGCCGTCCGATCGCGCAATTCCGGGCAACGGCAGAATTTGGTGGCGAAAGTTTAACGTCCCGCGATGGTCAGCAAGGTTCGTCCTGCCCTCTGACGTCAGCTGACCTTTAGGACGATCGCTGCCACCAGCCGCAGGCCATGCCTGTCAAGGGCAAATAAAGCATCTCATAAAGTATCTGTTGTGCTCTTAGCGTGCTGAATGCAATTCGACGGATAGAAAGCGACTATGTGTCGTAAAAGTAGTCTTAAACTGCGTACATGTGAATTCATGCAGCTGTGCGATGCACAGTTGCAAATAAAACTGGCTTTGGGTCTTGCCAGCATGAGAAAACGGGGATCTGGTAGCATGCGACATTTTAATAATGCTTTTCAAAAATGACACAACCCTTTCATTCTCCTGGACATGAGACAGAGGAACCAAAGGCACCCACCAGCGGATAATTGCGCGCGTTGACCATTATTGTGGCGCGGCCGGTAGGCAAGCAGAAAATAATTGTTTCAGTTGAGTTTGCTTCACCAGTAAGTGTGCCCGATTACGGATATACGTATCAAATATCACATATGTGGTCAGACAGTCGTTTTATTTGTTCAGAAAAAGTACTGGGCGCCATCCGGCACCTATGAACTGGGTTCGGCTGTAGCATCCGAGCGGCATGTGTAGATATATTGCACCTCACCGGAAGGCCAAAAAGTTTGGTAATGTCCCCATGCCTTTTATCATTTCAACCAGAAGCAATTTTGGCCCTGCGATGGGTTGACACTTATGAGGTACTGACCAGAATAATTGCGATATGATTGATATTATGACGAGCCTTGTTTGTTCCGATATTCGCGCGGAATCGCATTCCCAACAGGCGGCAAGGTGTGTTAAGTATCTCAGCACCCATTGGTTGATGTCAAATGATTGCGCAATTTGTTGTCAATGAAAATTTACAATATCTAAAATTAAGGCACTCGAATAAATCGAGTTTGCTGATCACACAAATTTGTTAAGTGGAAGTGGATTGGCATGGATTTGATTGGTCCATTTTTCGGACAAGTCGGACCGAATCGGGTCGAACTGAAACACGAGGAAAAAGTCGATCGGTGAGCGGATTGGACTGGACTAACCGGGCCGCACCGGGCCGAATCCTGAAAACTACAGCCGTGAAGTGCTCTACCAGCCCCGTCCTATGCTTATAAGGCACCGCTCGGACTCGACTGGGAAGAGGAACAGGAACTCTATAACTGCACCCGAATGTCCCGTAGTAATTTCAGATAACGTACATAAGTCCGCAAACACTGCCGTCCAACGGTAAAGCCCCATATATTAATTTTTGGCCGTTTTAGTTTTTACGTTGTCTGATTCATCTACTCATGCTGAATGTGGTGACTAAAACGATAAGTTCAAACTTTCACAATCTTTTAGCCCATTCTTTTAGCTAAAAGCTTGTACAAATTTCGAATTTTATTTTGAATATCTGAATTTAGCACGAAAAGACGAATCAGATGACATAAAAAGCGCAATGTGGACAGAAATTAACATATGAGGTTTTACCTTTGGACGGCAGAATAAGCCTCATTTACGGTTTTACGGGAGAATAGAGACGAGGTATCACCATCACGGATGGAAAAGTTGTTCGGACTATCGTCCTAGCCTGGTGATGTACACATGCCTTTGAGAGTGAACATATTAAGACGCCTCATTCGTGCACATGCCTTTTAGAGTGAACATATTAAGACGCCTTATTCGTTCACATGCCTTTCAGGGTGAACATATTAAGACGCCGTATTCGCGCTTAGATGGCCGGTGAGTTTGGTGAGGTGCCTATCCGCACATATAACGCACGCTTGGTTACACGCTAGCTTTCGCAAATAAGGTTTAAATGCCTACATAACAGACAACACTAAGAGGCCGGTCACGAACAACTGTGAGCTGGCTGTTTGCCAAGCAACAATCGTCCGCGTGCGGAGGCTCACACTTTTGTCCAAAGCCATAGCAGGAATCTCGGGTTTGTAAGTGCCAATCAGTCACTGTAGAGCTGCTGATGTGTATAGTGGGCGCAGGAAGGAGGCGTATGGAGAATGGCAATCGGGTACGGAGGCCGT